ATGAGATAGCGGTGTTAAAAAGCAAATGAAACATTATTAATGTAAAATGGCAGAAAGAAAGGAGGTAACAGAACTGCAGGACCCACTACATTCATCAAATTTCAACAGAGACTGAATACAAGATACAAAATGGTCTAGCAGTAAGAAAATCTGTTTAAAAAGCAATACAAAGTAGAAACAAATGGTACCTTTACGAGAAAATTAAGTAAGACATTTTTCCTGTGGTATTCTGCTGCTGATTATCTGCTTATCTTTGTTAACAGCCACCACAAAGGCTTATGTACCCAGAAAAGATTTCTAATAAGCAAGGTAAATTTTTCCCCCTTGACAGATGTAGCCATCTTTTTTTTTTTAAACATCAACCTCGCTGCAACAAGTTCAACACTGAAAAGTATAAATAATATCTTCAAATTAGCAACATATCAAATGTAGACACTAAACTTAAACCTTCTTTTTAATAACTAGATATTCATTTATGTAAATAGCATGGTAGGAGGCTGTTTTATTGGTTTCACCTACTGTACATGCTGCCACAAAATTAATACACACTTTAAGAACGTTTCTGAGTTTTTAAGAAACAATATGAATAAAGCTAATTACTTACATGTACATGTATTTGTCAAGCTTTGCTGCAAAATGGCGTGGCATTTCTCCACATCCATAATAATTCCGGTCATTTTCAGGTAAGTGATCCACATCATGAAATATTATACAGTCCCAGACAGCATCCTTCATAGCCTCTTTGAAGCCAACATTAAAGAGCATTGCACGATTAAAAGGTTGTGTACCTGTCTTCAAACAGAAAACAAAGGAGACATTGCAAGAATCAAGAAGAAAGAGGCAAAATTTCAATACTACGAGAAATACATTCTCTACCACATTAAAAAAAGCATTGACAAAGATGCCTGTTATTCCTCTAGCTAAGCAGAGCAATAGCTCTGGTTAGCACCAACTACATCAACCATATTTTGTGATTTAATTCTAGATGTTTTCCCCTCTTACACAAAACACCACTGGCAACTTATAGCACTAGTAACTCTCAAGTATCAAAATATGGGTGGTTTGGATTAACACAGCATGACATTACGAGTAAAGAAATACTGATACAAACTAAGAAAGAAACACTAAGTTTTGTTTCTTGTTAAAACAGTCAACTACTGTTGCAGATGACACCAAACTGGGTGGGAGTGTTGATCTGCTGGAGGGTAGGATGGCCCTGCAGAGGGACCTGGACAGGCTGGACCGATGGGCCGAGGCCAACTGTATGAGGTTCAACAAGGCCAAGTGTCGGGTCCTGCACTTGGGTCACAACAACCCCATGCAACGCTACAGGCTTGGGGAAGAGTGGCTGGAAAGCTGCCTGGCAGAAAAGGACCTGGGGGTGCTGGTCGACAGCCAGCTGCACATGAGCCAGCAGTGGGCCCAGGTGGCCAAGAAGGCCAACAGCATCCTGGCTTGTCTCAGGAATAGCGTGGCCAGCAGGAGCAAGGAGGTGATTGTTCCCCTGTACTCGGCACTGGTGAGGCCGCACCTGGAATACTGTGTCCAGTTCTGGGCCCCTCAGTACAAGACAGACATTGAGGTGCTGGAGTGCGTCCAAAGATGAGCAATGAAGCTGATGAAGGGTCCAGAGCACAAGTCTCATGAGGAGCAGCTGAGGGAACTGGGGTTGTTTAGTCTGGAGAAAAGGAGGCTGAGGAGAGACCTTATCACTCTCTAGAACTACCTGAAAGGAGGTTGTAGTGAGGTAGGTGTTGGTCTCTTCTCCCAACCAGTGACAGGACAAGAGGAAATGGGCTCAAGTTGCACCAGGGGACGTTTAGATTGGGTATTAGGAAAAATTTCTTCACGGAAAGGTATTAGGAAAAATTTCCTTACTGAAAGAGTGGTCAAGCATTGGAATGGGCTACCCAGAGAGGTGGTGGAGTCACCATCCCTGAAGGTATTTAAAAGACATGTATATGTGGCACTTAGGGACATGGTTTAGTGGGCATGGTGGTGTTGGGTTGATGGCTGGACTAATGATCTTAGAGATCCTTTCCAACCTTAATGATTCCTAGTTTTTACTTTAATTAAAAAATAATGCAGCCACCAAGCCAGGAAACATGAAATTCTTACTCTCCCATTAATTGGTTTAGTGGTGGACTTGGTAGTGTTAGGTTAATGGTTGGACTGGATGATCTTAAAGGTCTTTTCCAACCTAAACAATTCTATGATTCTATGATTCTGTACTGAAAAACTTCTGATGCTGTGAAAATGCCTACAACTTGGTTACGTATTTATAATTAACTTTATATTAGAACTTACTTCCAGTTTCTTAAAAACCTTAATGAAGTCAGATTCAAATAATTTTTATTTCCAGTACAATTCCAGTATAATTTACATCTCCTCATGTCCATTTTGAACAAACAACGTAAAACCTTTTGATATAGCAAATGAATCCTACATGCCTTTTTTTAAATGACAATTCAGAGGATCTTTCCTGCAAATTTTTCACTTTGTCACCTGAAAATATTGCATTACATAAACCATGAAAAATATGTCCTGTAATTTCTTTAGGGATCTAGCTATCTACTATGGCCAACAATGGTGCAAATTCCTTAAGCTACCAATCCGAACTACTTTATTCCTTGATCATGGCTTGCAGAAACTTCTTTTTTTTTTTTTTTTTTTGGAAGTGTTTTTTTCCTCCATATCCATTCCTCTCTGTTTCCAAACAGACCCCTAGCCAAGGTGCTAGTTGGGAATTTTATATCATTAATGCCTCCACTATATTCCACATATATTAACTGGACAGTATACACTTTAATACTATTGTTTTCAGTGGATTTCAGTGAGCATATGCTGCAAAATGGCCTTCTGTAAATGACCATGTCCAATTCTTACACAGAAAATCTTTTTTCTCCCCTTGAAAACTTACAAAGAAAATAGGTTCAAAGAGGCCATGTTATCACTTATGAAATATCAGCCCATAGTTGAAGAAAAGCAACACATAACTGGTCACTGCTTAAACTGGGGAATGGAGCTGAACTTTTTCATTCGAAGGATTAGAACAGCAGAGTAGCAATTTTTAAATTCCGGATTCATCCAAATCTTAATGATAAGATTATCAAGAATATCAAATTTCCTTTAGTAAGGAATCTTCAGGAGTCATTTTTCAAGTAAATGCTGTTACCTGTTCAACAACATAGAAGGCAAATTCCAGCCGCTGCTTCTGCAACATAGGTATCAGATGACGGAAAAAAATTGGAAGATGTTCATGCCGATTCCGAAAAGGAATAAGGATTGCCACCTTCAAACAATTGTATATATATTAAGCTATTGTATTAGCATTTTTAAATTTTAATGTTTTAATACAGACCAAGTCTCCCATGGCTTACATAGGCTTTTCAACTTTCACATTTAAATTGGCTCGGTGTTTCACACTCTTGTTCCCACTAGGAAAGTGTGTTGCAATTTTGCTCAAAAAATTAAAAAAAGGAAAAAAATTCTCAGTAAAATATAAGTAAGATTTTCCTTTTATGTTCACTTGCTTCTAATTATACTTCAAGCAACATACACATAGGACAAGTTTGCAGACATACGATAAAATGTTTAGTAACAACACTTAATGAACCTTTAGAAGTTCTTAATCCATTTCAAGGTTTTTTTCATGCTTTAGTCTCTTCTTGAACACAGGTAGCATAATACATATACTATAACATTCTACATATTATATAAAATACATAACAGTAAAAGACTGGGTGCTTGCAATGGTAAACTATTCTTATACACCAACGGGAAAAAAAACCAGAAAAGCAGCATCTCACCTTCCATCGTGGCTTACAGTCTTTTGGTTTCCAGTGTCCTCCCGGTTTAATGTCTAAATCTTTTGAAAACAGTTGCTGAATTTCATCAAAACTAATTTCACTCATATTGACATCAATAAGGCCTCCTAAATAGAGGAAAAAAATTTGATTTATTAATTTCAATTAAGACAACAGATCTAATGTTACAAGGTATATCATAGACAAATAGCATTAGAAATTTGTATTTACACTACCTACGGATAAAAAAGAAACAATTTATACTATCTTCTTAATATTCAGTTTTTACAGAATGAATTTCAGTATTTCCCAATTATAAACATTCCTTCAATAAATCCTATAATGGAAATACTCATTTCAGAGGACACAGAACAAGCAAAGTAATTTGAATTCTGTATCTATTCCAGAAAATTAGAGTCACCTTTCAATTCAAGTACCACTGCTAACAATTCCACATCATCTGCACTACTGAACTGATACTCAAATTCTGGGTGTCTTCCTACCCACGCTTCCACAAAACCAGAAAATGCATATCATCACTACACTCAACAAAATTTCTCACTTTAAATTATAGATAATTACACACATTTCATGTACAGCATTTATCCATTAATTCACCACTGTCTGCATCAAACCAATTTATAGCAAGCAGCTAAATTTGAAAATTACCGCTGATAGAACTAATTAGCCCAACAGGAAAAGCATTCACAAATGGCTACTGATTAGAGTGGAATTCAATAAGGTATTGAATAAAGAACACAATATGGTAGCAGAAAAATCAGGTTAGTACTTATTATGAGAAAATATCTACACTTAGTTGATAGCGAAAAGTTCTCTGTCATTAGCTCATGCATGTGTATAAATTTCAAAACTAGAAATAATGATTCATAGTAAATATCCTCAAAAGCAGAAGTAGAAGGAATCAAGAAAATCTAGGGAGAAGAATAATGTAACACTCATGAACCAGAAGTTCAGTTGTTCTTCAGCAACTACTATACTAGATCATCAAATAAAAATCCTGCAATAACTATCTGACAGACACCATAAAATATTCTACTTTTTTTTTAATCTAAAAATTTAAGTCTTTTGGTGAGGGTTGGAATTTTAAAGTCAATTAAAGAAATCACTCCCATTTTCTCCCCTGTGCCCATACCCAAAAGATTCTATTTGTGTCCAAAAGATTGCTTCATGTTGTAACACTGAATTGACTAGCTATCTAAATCTTTTGGAAAGATTGTAATTTTTGGAGCATACGAGGAATAACTTGTTTTCAGAATAAGGCAGAAGATACTGGAAGAGCTATTTTAGTTTTGGATATGATTAAATGTAGAACTACTTGTAGGTAACTTTAAGAAACAAGGAAAGCGGTAATAAAAAAATGATCAGGAACAGCACAATAAGGAGAAGATCTTTTAAGAGCAGATTTAAACTGATGTTTATTTATTTATTTTAGAAGAAAAAGGAAACCTGGTAGTTGCCGAAAAAAGACTGTATAAATATACACCAGAACAAGCTAATCCTACAGAGCTTAAAAAAAAAAAAAAAAAAAAAAAAGAAGCTTAGACGATCATTATGGTTGTATCTAAAACTCTTCAAAAACCAATAACCTGAAAAAGAAATCTTACAAAAAGTAGAAACAAGGACAATCAACCAAGGATCAATATATAAACATGTATAAATTAAATTTTAAAAAATAAATAAATCACTAAATCAACTTTAGCTACCAAGAGACAGAGAAGCAACAAGAACCTTTCAGTTTATTTATAGATCTAATAGGAAAATAAAGATAAATAAAGGTCAATTACTACACCAGAAAAGGAAGCAAACAACACATAATGCAAAGGACTCAGGTGCCTTAGTCTTCTGAGAAAAGTTTAGATGTGATCAGATGCTTACAGAGTTTAAATGAAAAAGAAAAATTATAAAAAAAGAAGGAGTGTGCTGCGTGTGGATGGGGTGGAGTTAATTTTCTTCCCACTAGCTAGTATGGGGCTATGTTTTGGATTGGTGCTGGAAACTGTTGATAATATTGGGATGTTTTCGCTACTGCTGAGCAGTGCTTACACAGAGTCAAGGCCTTTTCTGCTTCTCACCCCACCCCACCAGCGAGCAGGCTGGGGGTGCACAAGAAGCTGGGAGGGGACACAGCCGGGACAGCTGACCCCAAGTGACCAAAGGGACATTCCGTACCATATGACGCCATCCTCAGCATATAAAGCTGGGGGAAGAAGAAGGAAGGAGAGGATGCTGGGAGTGATGGCGTTTGTCTTCCCAAGTAACCATTACACATGATGAAGCCCTGCTTTCCTGGAAATGGCTGAACACCTGCCTGCCGATGGGAAGTAGTGAATGAATTCCTTGTTTTGCTTGTTTGCATGCATGGCTTTTGCTTTACCTATTAAACTGTCTTTATCTCAACCCACGAGTTTTCTCACTTTTACTCTTCTGATTCTCTCCCCCATCCCACCATGGGGAGTGAGAGGCTGTGTGGGGCTTAGTTGCCGGCTGGGGTTAAACCACAACAAGGAGGAATGGTAAAACAGTATTTATATAAGGCAGGTGCTTCTAACTTGATGGGACATGACAAAATTCTCTCCAGACTGTTTAAAAAGTAGCTATAGTAAACCCTGAAATATTGGTGCTATCAAAAGCACACAGGACATGGGCAAATACAAATCAGCAGTACTTCCCTGTCATTGGTGGTGGGCAGGAGAGGGCATCTCAGTAAATATATGGGCTTAGTATGCAATACTTCCATTACTGTCTAGCGTGCTGCAGTAAAGCATATTTATACAACCCACAAAAAAAAGAAAGCTGAGGAAGCAGAAAGCATTTTGAAGAACAGAATCAGAAAACAAAGTAATTTCAACAAATCAGATACATACTGAAATCAATAGAGTGAAATTAATTAAAAAAAAGTATGGATTGTTACTGAAGGAGAAATGAAGCATACACACACAAAACAGGAAATACCTGGCTATGCTGTGGTATGCAGAAAGTTATTTCGATGATTTATAATGGCTTGACTACTAACATGAGACAATAAACTGTAATGCGATTGCACAAAAATGGCAAATATCATTCTAGAATACATTAACCGCTGTTATATGAAAGACAAAGAAGGTAATTACTAGTCTGTTTTGTAACCAGGGTTTTAGCTGGTTATGATGCTTCAAAAGGAAATCAAATTAGAGGAAGTTTACAGTACAAAAATCAAAAATGAAAAGAGCTTTAGAAACTATGTAGTCTAGAAAGGCTGAAAGTACCGGTTTATCTACAAAGGAATAGACTGACAAAAACGTAAGTCTTTTCCAAGACAGAGTAGTTTGGTACACAGATGGTAACCAACTTTCTTCCAAGCATCAAGAAGGGCACGGAGAAATCCGACTAACTTGGGGGGAGGGGGGGGGAGAAGAGAAAAAAGTAAATTCAGGTTGAGTGTCAGGTTGAGTATTAGGAAAAGCTTAACTATTCAGTTGATAGAATACTACAATATACTACTTCTGGAGACAGTAGAACTCCCTCCACTGATGACTTTTATTTTTATTTAAATACCAAATACATTTTTCTATTATCTGTTTTGAATGGTTTTGGTATATTCAACCCCAGTGTGGTGATCAAACTAGAAGATCTGGATATTTCTTATAGCTCATTAAGTACCCATTCTTAGAAAAACCATTAAGTGACTTGGGTAGACTGCTTAAAAATTCTTAACATGAGGGTTTTATTTGATATAACTGAAAAAAATTATCTGCCTTCCATTTACCTCTCAAGTCGGTATTAAAATTAGGCTGATTAAATACTCTTTTGTACTGCTTCTATCTTGAACTAGACGTGTCTTGCTTATGAATTAGCACAGCAGTGCTCAACCACTGGGTTATAACCTGAAAGACTGAGTCACACACAAAAGGCACTAGTTGGTCCTCTTTTAACAGCATATGTACTTGGGACAAAACATAATTTTACCGCACTCCTTCCACAATACAAATTTGGCAAGCTGATGTAAAGAAGAGTAGCTGACTTCTATAATAACCTTAGACTATTAAGCACGTCAAAATATCCATGATTCAAGAGGGTTTCTTCCCTAGCTATCTCAGGACCACCTACAATATTTCATTGCATCAAATAATCTTCAGAGACATTTTATTTAGATTATAATTAAATACACAGATGGTTATTAAAAAGGTATACATGAAAACTAAAGGGCAAGACATACATCTCTGCTAAACAGTAACTTATCCAGTGAACTATTTGCTATTAAAATTATGATTTCTCTATTAAATTCAGAAAAAAAAGAAAAAGTACAAAGAGATTACTAACAAAAAAGATGGAAAAGAGAGCCGCAATAAGGAGACCTATAGACAAATTCTGGTAGAATTACATATGGCCAATGAGGTTGATAGCAAGGATGGCAGAGTAGAATGCATCCCTACTCTGGCAATTCCAGATAGCTGTCAGTGCAAACAAATCTGCAGCAATGATTTAAGATAACATACAGACAAGTAGGCTGACCTACTAAGATACCTTAGTACCTTCTAACTCATGGATGCCTCATCCATCCACTCCTGGACAGCAGACTAATACACAAGTAGAACAGGTAGCAGAAGCCAATACAGTTTTGAACTAACTAATCTGGCAGAATTCAACTGCCAGATCCCTTGAAAGTTTCATTAAAAATACAAATTTATATGCATTCTTCAGTCAGCATAATCATCATTCTTGCTTCCCTTGTTATCCGGAGTTGACATTTTTCGAACTTTTTATTTGTTTCCCGAAGTAGTCTAAAATATTTACTATTAGAATAATTTAGTTTTATTTGTTTACATGTGCAATATTACAGAAAAGAACATCTACACAATTTTGAAAGTCAAACCCTATTTCTGGAGGGAAA